AAATATTTTGGCGGACGTCTTAAAATATAATAGATTTTATAATTCCAATGGAAAAATAGTACCGATTTTTTTTTTTTGTATGGGGAGTGATGCAGTCTAATGTACATACATTGAATTTGACCGTGAAATGACTAATGGCTGCAAAAGTGCTGCGAAAATTTGCGGATATGAAAAATGCAACAAACGAAACGAAATTGGTAAATTACATAGCGTTTTGCATAAATATTGAATTTATAAATAAGCTCATGCATAGCTAAATACGTACGTAGGTACCTACTGTAGGTTGGGTCAAAAATCCGCATTTTTAGATTTTGTATTGTTACTGGCAAAAATGGGGTTAATTTTGGTCTAAAAAATCTGTGCGAAAGATAAAAATTAACGGTGCATATTTTCGGCTCGCCCAAGTAAATCTAAGTTTAAAGTGTTAAAAAAAACTTTTGTCTTAGCTAACTTTGACCGCAAAAAACGTACTTATACAAAATACATTTCAATTTTGGAAAAAACTTGTATATAAATTTTGTACATTAATATAATACTAGTATTCGCCCAGCTGGTGAAATGTAACCACCAAAATTAAGGAGAGTTGAAGTAAGTTAAGGAGAGTTGAAGTGAGTTGAGTAGAGTTGAGTTGAGTTAAGGTTAAGTGAATTGATTAGATGAGTTTAGATTAGTTAATGTGTGTTAGGGGGAGTTAAGCCGAGGTGAGATAAGGTGAGTTGAGGTGAAATAACATTAGTTAGGGTCAGTTGAGTTGAAGTGAGGGAAGGTGAATTGAGTTCATATGAAATGAGGTAAGTTGGGTGAGGTGAGTTAGGAGAGGAGTTGAGGTGAGCTTAGTTGGGGTGAGATGAGGGCAGTTGAGGTAATTTGAAGTGAGCTGAGGTGAGTTGGGGTGAAATGCATTGGACAACATAACATAACAAACCAAAATTATGATAACATAATATAATATAACATAACATATTATACCATAACGTAACAGAACATAACATGGCATACTTTAATGAATATGCGTGTATCTCTACATATACATACATACATACCATAAGTCGAAAATTGTAAATGGTCAAATTTGTTATTGTTATTAAAAAAACTGCCAATAAATAAATATACAGCTGTTTGCCTTAAAGATATGCCCAGTAATTTGACGTCTTTTGAACGGCTAAACTGACGTTTGAGCCTCGTGCTTCGGACGGCCTCCTGACGCAATATTCAATCGGTGATATAACTTATCTCATTCTTCAATTTTTCTTAGAAGAAAAAACTCTTACACTATATTTTGTATAAAATTTTCGGTATTTAAACTTTAGTATATTGGTAATCTTGGGCTTGGCTAAGATATTTGCCGAAATTTTTAATCTTTAGTACAGATTTTTTTAGAGCAAAATTAACCATTGCTATTGCCAATAAAAACTCTAAAAAATCGGATTTTCCGCCTACCGTGCTACAACACACGCATACATGAACATACTTACGAATTTACGAGCAATTATAATATTTACAAAGTATTTATTTGTGTATTCGCTTCTAGAATGAAATCGTTCTTCTACGCATTCTCTTTTATGTACGTTTGCACAAAAAAAAACAATTCCGATAAGCGACATGAGCATGGAGTGTCAGTCAGTCCTGTCGTTTGTCAAAAGCGAATGTACTTTGCATAATTTTTCAACTCATTGCATTTATAGCAATACTTTCATTATTATGAGTATGTGTAGTTATGCCTCCAAGTGGCACATGTCAGCGCTTTTGAGGACAACTTAATTAATTTTCGATAGTAAAATTGACAGCCATTGTCACATGGAGAAAAGCAGCTTTGGCATTAAGCTCTTTTAATTCGCTTTTATTTTCATTATGTCATTTATTAAATGTATTTACTTAATTTTTTACGCATTTGCATAATATACATACATAAGTTTTCATTGAGTAATTATGTAATTATGAATGGCTATTAAAAAGATTAAATAATCAGGCAATATGTATGCAACTGGAACTTATGAAACTATCTTTTTGTACAGATGATTTGGAATCTACAAAAATTTAATGAATATTTCCTACGAAAGAAGTATTTATTTCTTCATTTAACATCAGGGTTGGGCATCAGTACACTGTTCGGCAATAGGCTGGGGAAGTGGGGAAACCAGGTTTGTCTGAAAGTCTGGATTGTATAGGAAAAAGTGATTTCTCAGTTTTCCCAGGTTGGCGATTACAAGCGTTTTTTTTTGAATTTGAATTTGGTGGTCGCAGAGCAGCTTTTAAAATAATTAAAATTGATTTAAATGAAAATTTTTATACCATAAAAAGGCCTTTCTTGGGGTCCGAGGAATCTGAATCTGCAATTAATTTTTAGCGTTAGTGCACCCAGCGGCAGTTTTTGGCAAAAAGAAATTGCAAATTCAGATTGGTCAGAGAGTACCCTAGTGTAGGAATAGGCGTTCGATGAGGATTTTGTTGCACTAAAGGTTTGTGTTTTCTTGCAAAAAATGTCAGTTTAGTCACAAAATACTGTATTCCCAAATTCCAAATACACTTCCAAAATCTGCACCAGGGGCTGGATTCTATAACTGTGAGTGAGAAAAATGTAAACAATTTTGATAGTTGAAACTCATTCTCACACTTTATGAATCACAGAATGAAGAGTGTATGCACTTTTCAGTGAGCACTTGAAAATCCACTAAATATTACAGAATACAGCGCCTGAAGTCAAAACACAATTTTTCGGGGCCTCATAACTTTAACATTTCTTAACCGGCCTGCAATGATAAGAGGATTTATAGGCGCTTATACATAACGATATTTAACTTAAGGCATAACCACAAGTAGAAAAAATCGGAAGTTTTGAAATTACCCAAAATACGCCGAAACATGTCGTTGCTTAACGTTGAGCCATAGATTACAAATCTGTATTCTGTTTGCTAGATCAGGTCATTTCCACAAGATATTTTAATTTTTATGAAAAAAATAAAATTTTAACAGGGAAGAAATTAAAAAATTAACACATTTATTTTTATTTGAACTAAAGCTTTTTCTGTTATAAAAAAATCAAGCTGCTCACGAAGAAAGTCGATAAACAAATAGCTGTGAATGGTCAAATAAAAATTCGTAATGATTTTTAATCGACTTCCAAAAAAGGAGGAGGTTATCAGTTCGTCGGAATATATATTTTTTTTTTTTTTTTTTTATGTATGTTACCGCATAACT